TGTAAACAGTTTGGCACAAACTACTGAAAATGAGGAAATGTTGATTCAAAGACTAATTCAAAGATTATTCAGATTTGTAGTGATTGTGTCGAGCTGCTGTCGTCTGTGTTGAACTAAAAGTACCAAACTGTTGCACAACTGTCAGGAAGAGAGATTACTTTCCCCTGTGAGGCAACTCATCAGAAACACACGAGAGCATGTTTTCAAAGTGATAATGAAAAGGAATGAAACCTAGAAACTTTTATTTCCCCAAATTTTTACAGTTTGAACATTTACTTTTTATATCATAGGAACCCTTGTGACATGTTATTGTTCAGAAACTACAGGGGTAAAAAAACAAAAACTTCTAATATGTGAGCTTCCACCCACTGGTCCAGATGTTCCAGTCAGATGTAAATGTAAATTTATTCTGTTTTTATGGAGCGATTCAGTCAAAAACCTTTTTTTTTTGCAGGTTACATCCATCGAATTTCTTTCAGATGTGAAAACATATGTCACCAGTTCTTTCAAGCTCATTACTGACATTTTATCTCTTTATTCTTCTAGGACAATGGTACAAACTGAAACAGGAAACAACTGTTTGTTTGGCTTACATTAAACAGCATTAGCTCTTACTGTGTATGATGGACTTACAACTTAGGTTGAGTGTAAATGTAATGGATACTCCAGCCCCTGTTAAAGGATTTGTTCTTGTTAGGCGACATGATGTGGAACCAGAGAAGACACAAACAGACCATATGTTGTGAGTGTGATACAAGATTAGTGAGAGACGAGCAAGTGTTGAGAAAATCTATTCTGGGGCCCAACGGGGGTGGGGGTTGAATTCTTTCTGCAATCAAAGCTGAAACGTGGGAGAAGAAAGCGAAGAGGGTCAGCTTAAGTATATTCAAACTGAATTCCTGCAAAAAAAACATTTATACAGTCATATTCTTTGTGTTTATTTAGAAATTGGGATTTCTTTATCGTTGAAATTAAGTGACAAAATCAAAGTTTGGGTCAGAACCAGAGGAAGACAGACGGAATTTTGATGTCTCAGACATAATGAATGATAATTCTCTTCCATTTAATGTCGGTGGATTCTCACGCATGTGAAATCACTGAAATAGCTTCCACTCGTGGGCGACAGATGGAGATACATATAGTGGCTAAACATAGTAAGATATGCAGGTCGAAGATATAGATAGTCACAGCCACTGTACTGCAGAGCGGCCCCCGAGCAACTTTTTCCACTGATGTCACAGTGACACTGACACAATTGTGCTTAATTGATAAGAATGGTTTAAAAAGCAGTTTAACTTAGAAATGTTAACTTATCCAGAGTCCAAACACAGGGAATTTGGTTGAGCTCATTTTAACAGATTTTTATTGCAGGTAATTTGCAAAGCATCACGTGTGAAAGGTGCCTCGGACCAACAGACCAAAATTTAGTCTGACCAAAAGAGCCTTTTCCAGCTACTAAGCCCCACCCACAAGCTGACAGGATTGGTGACATCACAAACCCTGGTGGTCTGAATCCATTATTTTCAATCTGGCATTAATTGCTCAGCCATGGTGTTGAGTGTTTATTTCACTCAAAATGTTTAAAACTTCAAAACGGATCTGTTTTCTCTCTGCAGTGTTCAGCTGTCATTCTGGAGGGAAAGGCCCCAGTCGAGTTGAGCAGGGGGGATGGAGGAGGTGGGGAGGCCAGCTCCTTGAGCCCCAGCCCCGCTGCTCTGCCTCCGACCCACGCAGAGAGCGTTGGGCCCTGGCAGAGCGAGAGCCTACTGGCAGAGTCCTGGTCCACGATGGGCGACATGGACACCGAGGACGCCAAGAGCCTCGACAGCAACGACGGGGCGGCTCTGGCTGGAGAGGAGAACCACTCCTTCAACTCCGACATGGTTCACCTGGAGCGAGAGGAGGTGGAGATGCTGGAAGAGGCGGTGGAGGAGAGGGCAAGGAGATCAGAGGAAGAGGAGGAGGATGATGAGGAGCTGCAGACGAGTGTGTTGAGTGTGTTAGGTGGGGAGAGGGAGCTGGTGGAGCTCAGGGAGGAGGAGCAGGACCTCCAGGCTCCGGAAACTGAGGAGCTCCTGGTGTCAGCAGAAGAGCCTGAGGTGGAGAAGGAGCCAGCAGAGTTCAGGCAGGTGGTTCCCCCGATGGCTCTGCCTCCTCTGCCTATCGTCAGGTTCGATCCCCCCTCTGCGACCTCCACCCCGGTCCCTTCAACCACAATCTCTGAAGCTGAGGAACTCCTTTCTCTTCAGGGGCTCCACCCTCCGGCCATCCTCGCGCCACTGGCAGCAGAACCCCCGGCAGAAAATCTAGAGCAACTCAAATTCTCACAGATCCCTCTTTCAGCAGAGGAGGAACATTCAAGTAAAGAAGCAGCGTCAGAAAAGCCACAGGCCACTGCTCCCGAGACCAAACCTCTGAGCTCCACGGAGCTGCTGTGTGGAGGAGCCGCTTTAGTAGCTGTCGTTGGCGTCGTGGCGTACGGAGCTGTGGCCTACTGCCGAAAATGAAACCTGTCACCCTTTCACTGCAGGCTCTGTTTTTAAATCTACTCCCGATCAATTACTCACTCTCTGAATTCTGGATTTCACCCGTTGTATTGTCATTATTAGTCACATTCGATTTGTCGGGTTCATTTTGTGCTACCTCAGCTCACATCAGAGCTCATGGCCTTTGTTTTTGTTTTGTTTTCTCAGAGGAAATTAAACCTGTAAAATGTAAAAAACCATGTGCAAGCTGCAATTTTAAAGAATCCTGAAACTTGAAACCTTTGTTTGATGGTTCTTTGTGTGATTGTGTCGCTCGTCACGTCACCGGAAATCAACATGAGGGAAGAAATTAGCAGAAAATTCTTCTTCTGCAAAACACGTCCAGTTACTCTGGGTTTTTCCAAACAGCTGGCAGGATACTGGTTGATTTAAATTGGACTATAAATGTATTTTAACTCTCCTCGTTCACTCCTCCACCAACGCTGAACAATCACACTGTGTAGTTCTTATAGTGGAAATACAAAAGAAAAAAATAAATAAATGAACAAATGGTTTGTCCTTTTTCAAACTGATCATCACGACTCTCCTCTCAAACACCTCAGATTATAAATCAGTGTTGCCACAGAACAACGCAGCATTCAGCTGTGCCATGGTTCAATCCTACAAGCAGTCGATCTGTTTGAACAGCTTCTCAGATGATATTCTAGTGTTTGATCAGAAGCTTAAACCTCTGTTGTTGGTTTAACACGAAGCTGTTTCTCCAAGCCTGCAGGTTGGGAAGCACTGAGCTAGAAACCACTTCCTGCTCAAGAGACCTTTAAAGGTCCAGTGTGTAGAATTTAGTGATGTCTAGTTTTGAAGTTGCAGCTGAACACCCCTCACGTTACCCTCTCCTCCCAAACATGAAAGAGAACCTGTGGTAGCTTCAGTTGTCATAAAAACTCAAAAGGTGTTTAGTCTGTTCAGTCTGGACTAATGTAAAAAACATGGCGGCCCCTGTAGAGAGGGTCCCTCGATGTAAATATAGAATATTTAAATATAAAGGACCTTTTCTGGGGTAAAGAAAACAACAATTTATACAATTTAGATGAAACGAACTAGTGAAAACATCATGAGGATTATTCTACATTAAATTTCTGCCAATAGATCCCTTTCACCTAAATCTTACACACTGGACCTTTAACCTCCCTCTGTCAGGAGAATCAATAAAAAGCACAAAAAATACGTTTTGCTGAACATAAGTTTGACGTCTTACAGTGGACTGGAGCTGACAGTTGGTTTGATGCTCTGTCCTGCCACCTACTGGTTAGTCAGCATCATTACAGTGAGACCAAAGTCAACCTCAGAGCAACAGCAGGTCCTTTAAGCAGAAGCACTAAAAGAAGGAGGCATCAAAATTTTGATTTTTTTTTTTGTCTACAATCTCACTTTGAT